AGATGGATTGGCCAAGTGGCAGCATTGATGGACTCAAGCATGGCAACAGTAGTGAGGTTGGCCCAGGATCAGGCAGTGTTTCGTTCTGCTGTGCATAAGGTTGCTATGGGTCAGTACTGACTAGATGGCACCTAACAACAACAGTAACAGTGGGCTCAAACATAACTATTGTGAGGATGGCACAGGACTGGGCAGTATTTCCTTCTGTTGTGCATACAGTCGCGATGGATTTGAATTGACTCAGCAGTACATGAATGTCTTATTTGATTTTATGCATTTATAAAAGCTTCCATTATATATATATATATATGGAATAATAGGAAAAATGTCCTTTATTTCTTCTTTACAGAATTTTGTCCCTGTGTACGTGTTTTTGTTAAGTGCCATCAAGTCAGTTCTGGCTCTTAGCAGCCCTGTATATAGGGTTTCCAAAAAGTGGGAAGTGGGTTTAATACAGCAACCTTGTGGTTAGCAATTCTGTGCTTATCCTATAGTGACATACCAGGGCTCCCTTGTATATATGACAGGCCACTAAAATATTTCCAATAGAGGTAGTGGTTTGTTATAGTATTATTTGGATATTTAGAAGTAGTTCTAATTTTACTGTATTTTATTTTGTAATATTACTTTTTGAACATTATATGTTTATTTTACTGTGTATAAAATATCTGAGTTGTTTAAAATTTATTTATTTATTTTTTTTAGAATGGCAGAATTTAGTGACATTTGGAAGCTTTTCAAACCTGGTTCCCTTCCACCCATACATCTGTTCACTGAGTCAAGTAAAGTTGTACTCCACAAATGTTCAAAAAGAAGGACAGGGACCACAGACTATCAGAGTAGAAAAAGTACCAACACTTGATGAAGCAGGTATGTATACATTTAAAAATTTTCAAGTTGTTTGTCTTATCTACTAGAATACTTTGTGGAAGATTGTTCCTGGAATGTTTGGTAGAATTTACCTGTAAAACTCTCTGGGCTGATGTTTTCTTGGTGGGATAGTCTTTTGGTATTTTTTTTTTTAACGTTAGTTTTTTTTTTTGTAATGTTTGATTACTAATTATGTGATAGTTTACATGGGAGAACATTCGTTTTACATTCATCCTATCGTATATTGTTACCTTGCCACGGTTACAATCCCCTCCATGCATCATCAACCAACCACAGGGTATACCCTGTAAGCCTTCCTCCTGGTCGTCAGTACACAGCCCCTCTC